TAAGCGCCGCACTGAGACCACCAGTAGTAAGCGCTGAACCGAAACCACTAGTTGTAAGCGCCGATCCGGGAACACCGGTAGGAAGCGCCGAACCGTACACACCAGTAGTAAGCGGCGACCTGGGAGTACTAGTAAGAAACGCCAAATTGGACACAAGCAGCGCTCTAACTGATATCTGGCCTAAAGGAAACGACGCTTGTGAGGCAAGAGGCGCACTCGAAAAATGTGGTGGTCTAGAATCAAGGAACACATTCGACTGAACCACCGAATGAGAACCAGACGAAGGAACAACCACCGTAGACAGATGAGGTTGTGGAGAGGACGTAGTTAACATTCTAAGATGCCTAGCGGTTAGAACAATTGGAAAAAAAATACATTATCAGACAATAAAGGTATAGTTTTTTGATGACGTAACAATTGAATGACGATATCCCGTCACTACGCCATTCTAGTGTGTCCCCTCGTAATCGAACCATTTTACATTACGTCAGAATGTAAGCGACGTCACAATGTAAGCGACGTCAGGATGCATGTCAGTTGTCATCGCCTCGTACGGCCTCCTACAGTAAACTACTCCGTTGCATCCCGTTTCTTGGTTTGCAGTTGCTTCACGCAGCTAACATCACTGGTGGAAACATTACGTTTATGTTTTACGACTGTTAAAATGTCTCAATTCAACTCACAAGTTTTCAGCGACACGGTAACGTTTGCAATGTTTACATTCCCACAATGCAATCGTGGAATGTCGCTTGACTACTCAGCTTCATCTGGATGTACTGATCTAAACTTACGTTGGTAGTAGAAATGCGACGTTCATATTGCCCCATATGGTTTACGTTAATGGCAGATGTAATTAAGATAATTCAGAGAAGATATTTAATCCGAACGTAAACCGTCATCAAACTGTTATCATTTGTTTTTTTCTGGTAACGTTCGTCTTAACGTAGGGGGGCAGACACATCAGTAGAACAGCGCGCCAGTTAGCCCTGTGCGAGGATTCTTAATTTAGGTCATCGACACCGTCGTTTGTTTTCTGCCTTAAATTAATCGTAATTATCCTTAGAAAGTATTAAATTTAGCATCTTAGAAAAGATGTAAAGTTCGCTCTACCCCGATGTGTTTTGTAATAAAGTATAGTTTTGCCCTGAACTATTATAACATCAAAAAAAATTATTTAATTATAATAGTTCAGGGCAAAACTATACTTTATTACAAAACATTTTGGGGTAGAGCAAACTTTATTTCCTAACCACAACCCTAGGTGGAGACGAGTCTTCCAACGTGATGGGGTTACGGCCACGCGGACGGAACAGTTGTCTTAAGTTCTCACTAAGGTAGGAATCAGACGCCTCTTCTAGAAAATCCTCAATAGGAGACGGGGACCTCGAACGACGGACTGCCGTAGATTTACGACGCTCGGCCTCGGTACGTTTCAATGCCGACGGACCCCCAGATAGTTGACGGCGATCTCGATCGGATAAACGTCTACCAGCCACCTGGTGATATGCCGAGAAATCATCATCGTTAAGATCCTTACAGAACGTACAGCGACGGGACCATTCACATTTGCCTAAACAGTCTACATACAAGACATGTGGGTCCCCCGCTGAAAAATTACTGTAGCATTGGTCACAATGCTTTCGTTTCTTAGAACTACTGCGATTAGACTTTCCCATAGTTGTAGAGAATTGCAAACAAATTTTCTATAGCCAAGCACACGTCCACCTGACGCCGCGACAAGAAAGAGAATGACAGGCACAGGTGGTCACATGATCATCTGAGCGAGCCGCACGCTTACAGAGATGATTGACAGGTGTTGATGTCGGAGTGAGGGCAGAGGTCAGGGCGGGTCAGAGGCCAGCAAGATTTGATTCAACTTAGCCTACAGCACGTTTCCACACATGGTCGTAGAAGAGAGAGCTGCATACAGTGAGATAGGATAAGTTTAAAAATTAGCATGTCTTCCTCGTGTACGCTTCCCTTTTAAGAAGGTTATTAACAGCCTTCTGTTTGCTTTCACGAAGACTTTGAACTGATTGTGTTACTGCAATTAAACACAAAACTGGTGGGGAATATGGGAATGAACTGATTAGGAGATAACATTATTTGTTTTCATGTTTGTGGCTGTTATTGATGTGGATGTTACCATTAAGGGAATGAAAGATTCAATAATAACCAGTAATTTGAAATCAAACACATGGTGTTTTTCAAGATACATGAAGTAAGATAGAAGGATAATCAGAAAGCCCTTTCTCCACAGCATAGTCACTCTTGGACCCTATGACTAAACTTTGGAATGCAATGATATCATGAAACAATGGATGACATCAGATACTTATGTCAAAACAGACTTGAAGGTGATTCTCTGACATCTGATTGGTAAACCAAACAATTCTTTTGTATTCATGTTTTCATAAACCAAAACAAAATCAGGCCATACCCACTAATAGAATAGTGTTTCCTGATGGGCAGGTGTTGCACTGATTATTTCACTAATTGTGCTTTGCTGTCTACAGTTCTATTTGTGTTTGTGTAAGTCAGTACATTGTACCTTTTATGCCGAGTATCCCGGCCTGAACATAATAAAAGTTCTGTTCTGTTTTGTGAAGTTACATTTCCTTATATGCTTTTTCATAAGAATTCACTTCAGCATGGTTTGGGGTTTATATGAGGTAAACATTTTGTGTGCACACTAAATGGATTTACACAGTGTACATACACTATGATACAGTTTTTAAGGTTTATGCCTACATATGCATAGAAACAAAATAAAGTCAATTCCTAACTAAATTGGTCTAAATTGAAGCTGATTTGAAGAAATACTGATCAAACCTATATTACTTAACTAAAGTAGAATTCATTTTACCAATGTTAAAATGTAATATATCCTCGGGTCACATAACTTTGATCGTAACATAACTTTGATCGGCCATTTTGAAAGTTAAATCTCGTGATAACAAACAAGATTTGAAGTCACCTGCAGCTTTGATCTTTCATTGAGACCGCTATCAGTCACCTGAAGCACAAAATGCTTCGCATCAAGTTATCAAACGTAAGTAGCAGCTATTATTTGGCAAACAACTCATTTTTAATGTGTGTTCACTAAAGCAACTTTTTCACTTGTAATAAAACATCAATAAAATTTTAATACGTCATAGAAAACTGACAGGAATTTTCTTGTACAGAGATCACGTGATTACATTTAGTGACGTCATGCTAAAAACAAAATCTATGGAAGCTTCTAAGGGCCACCCCTTCAAATTCGTACTTTGTTTCACTCTTTAATACTTGACCCACTGTTTCAGTTTCTTTTGTTGTGGTGAATTATGCTGAAGGGGTCGTTGTCGGCACAGGTACTACAGAAAGGTACCCTAGCCAAAGTAAATGTACAGAATCGTACCCTAGGACGATCCCATTCTGCATCGCGATGAGTGCTAAACCGGTTTCTCGAACGCGTACTAAAAAATATTCCTGCCTGTCAAACCGCGGAAATATTCAACATGGCAGTGCGTGTTTGTCAGGAAGAACTATATACCTTCCTTCCGCTGTCAGTTATAAAATATCAGACAATCGATTTTTCTTGAGCATGACGTCCCCTGTAGTCCGTTTTACAGAAAATTGAAAGCGGTCTACAATGGGGGTGACATACTTCGTACATATCCAGCGCTGTTCTCTCAGGAGCAAAACTTTTTAAGTTTTGGGTGTCCTGAAAGGGTCATTTCCAAATCGTTCCCACCAACAGCTGTCGTAAATGAACATGGGAAATCGCCATCATCTTCTTGATCGGAACTCTCATACTGTCGTATGAGCTCCATATTCGATTGCGTTAGAATACAAAGTGAATACTCGGCGATGCAATGAAAGCGCTCGAAATCAGGCGATCTGGAACAACACCACAAACCGGTTTCGGTTTGAGAAAAGTGGACTCGTCTGCCGTTTAGGGTACCGGGTACATTTCTGTACATTTACTTTGGCTAGGGTACATTTCTGTATACAGAAAGGTACCTGGGGTACATTTCTGTAGTACCTGTGCTGACAACGACCCCTTCAGCGTGAATTATAGCTTGTCATTTTGATTTTTTAAAGGTTTTGACTGACGGGGAGGCCCCCAAAACAGGGAAATACAGGAAATATTCCTTAGAAGCCCTGGATAAAGCATATGATGCGATAACTTCTGGCATGTCTATAAGAAAAGCTTCAGCCAAATTTTCAATTCTTTTCGCCACATTACATGACAGAATGAGTGGGAAAGTTTCTGTTGAATGCATTACAATTGGGCGGGATCCAGTGTTATCCATGGAAGAAGAAAAGCAACTCATAAACTATATTCAAGCTATGTCAAATTTTGGTTACGGCTATACCAGGGCTGAGGTGACTGCTATTGCCACTGATTTAGCCGTTTGTCAAGGAAAGAAGACAAAAGATGAGCCCTGTTTTTCCTTGCAGTGGTTTTACGGCTTTCTGAACGTTGGCCCGATTTATCAGTGAGACAACCTCGATCTTTAGAGATCCAGAGTGCGTGTGCTATGTCGGAGGAGACTGTTTCCAAGTACTTTCTGAGCTTGATAACATCCTTACCAAGTACAACTTTAAGTCTATTGTGATATATTCTTCATTGTGGCAAGGACACCAAAACTCGGAATGTTGGCGTACAGCACGAACTGGGGTACAAAAACGTAGATGTGTCCAATGCTGACATGTCGGATGAGTGCATTGTGCCGAAGTTGTGATTATTAAAGACACAGTTCTTTGAACCTCATCTGTGCATTTGCAGCACAGGTCTTCATCACATCATCACTGTCATACGAATCAAACCTGTCGTTGTCATTGTCGTGAACCGGTCGGCAAAAACAATAACATTAGATACGTGCCGCGATGTAACAATCACCACAGATAAAATGCATGGAACCATGTACAAATAATATCTGTGTTTATCCATACTTATAAGAATATGTCAAACATAAACATGTTTTCAATTATTTGCCAACATGATAACTAACCTGGAATATTTTGATATTCAGCAGCTTTTCCTTTCCATCCGTATCCACTGTAAACAAAGTTGATCACTTCCGTTGCAGTACACACACTTCCGTTAAAGAAAATACTACCATAACTAAAACTAATTTTTAAGCTTGTAATTTTCAAATAGCATGGTCATTTTCTTTGCATTATCATTGTTGTCATCTCATATAGTATTATTTTAATATCATTATTTACTAATGAATATGGAAAACACGAGTCTTTTAAAGCCAATACCTTGTGTACTTCATCAAACTATCCTTCCAGTAACTGTAGTTTGCGACAAAGGGTATTTTGTACGCATGCGCTCTTGCACATACCTGGATTCTGCTTAAATGCGGCGAACGGGGATTTCTCTTATATACAGACAGATTTCTAAGAAAGTGAACCGGTAAGTTATTGTAAATTGAAAGAGAAGAGGATGCGTTTGAAAACTACGTTGCCGAAGGAAGCAAAACATATCCTTTTTATAGACTTTATTCACGTTTTACATCTAACTGCGAAACTTGTCATGTTTTGGATAATGTTTCAGCGACTGCATGTACACTGTAAGTGTTACTGTTAGAACAGAATACTAAGCGATCTCATCTGGTCTGACAGTGAAGACATGACCCTACACCACAGCCAAGGACACCACCTTTGTAAATCAGACCGGTGCCGATTAGACCTGGTATCTTCCTGAGAATTTTCTATTTCTGTTGAAAAAGTGAATATTGTTAAACGGGAACAGGCTAGTTCGCACCAACAGAGATTCGTACAGAAACTTTTCTGGCGGACTGCTACCCAAAACCACTCTTTACTGAATATATTGATGACTCTGCCCTAAAAGTCAAATCTGTACCCAATTATATATCGTATATTTGATTATTTTAACTTCCATACTGCATCAATAAACAAACGAAATAAGAAAACTAAGTGTCCTCACGCTTTAATTATACCATTGTGTAACCTTGATTCACTGATATAAGGGAAGTGCAGCGAAAATCGTATTTCAAAAGAACAAATTGTTTGTTTTTACTCACTGATCATTTTATTATTAAGACAGCAAATTGAAAATGCCTGATATTCCACTCGTGACTGAAACATTTGTTTACCTAAGCCATTTGTAATCATCACCCATTCTTGTTGCACACAAAATGTGGCATCACCTTGTATTATGGATTACGCAGTCAGTTAATATATCCCTATGTACGACAGCCCAGTACAGTAGATGGGGAATATTTTTTTGTGAATCAGAATTTATACATACCGACCATCATTTCTGTGTCTGAAGATAGCAGTTGAAATGAATTTTCATTCAACACGTCTCTGTAACTTGTCAATTAGGTCTGTACACTATTTACTGATTTCATTCTTCAGACTGTTTGCATGGCAGTCCACGGCAGTCCACGGCAGGGGCGATAGAACATATCGTGAGTCCAAAGCACACGCATTCAACAGCAATACTGTAAATGTACCCAGTGTTTGCAGTTACGATTCATGCTCTGTCCCCACTGCACGAAAAACAGAGATGTGCATTGGGCCAGTTCAGTGGACTGGAAGTGGTCAAACATGCAACACTTTTACGATGTTGATAATTTCTAAGTTGGTACTGACTTTTTAGAAGTTGAACTGTCAGTGTATTTTTTAACGTGACTTTCAATCTCTGGTTCAGTTATGGTTTTGCCACTTATGATCTTGTGGATGGATTTACGAGGTTTTCTGTTTTTCTTTTGAATAATGGGGAGTTGTTCAGCAAAATATTGAGCTTGATCAAAGTTTGAAAAGGGGTTTTCTTTCTCTGCGTTTGCATTGGTAACTGGACTTTGCATATCATCAGTAGCTTTTTCCTTCAAATGGTCTTCCTCGTGTGATCTGTGCATAAAAGTGGCAGGTTGTAATGGGGATTTATCAATGATATCTGGGATAGATTCCACTTTTCCTGAAGCCAACTGTAGGTGACCAGGCGTAAAAGCAGCAGGATATGCCCTACAGGCTACAGAGACAATGTTGTGTCTGTTGACAGTGGTGCCATCAGATTTTAAGAGCTTGTGACATTCAGCATTGTATATCTTTATAAATGGACCAAAACATACCACGTCCAGTGTCTGCAAAATGTGATTTGTGTGAGCTGGGAGGACAAACAAAACAATATTGTGATCCTTTGCCCAGTTGAAATGTGTGATTTGTGGTCGTTCATACAGAAGAAGCAATGGTCTCTCTGATGTTGTCGGAGTTGCATATAAGAAAGTGCTTGTCCAGGTAATCGCGGAATATGATGCCATTTGACCAAAATTACGCCACTTCTCACTGTACAACTCTCAAGAAATTCACTGCACACTCTAGCGCCTGCAATTACAAAATAAGGTGTAATAAATGTGCCCAGAGCATTTCCACATCCCAATAGTGTGACGACTGATGATTGTTCTGAAGAAATCTCATAGGCCACAGAGTTTCTTGAGCCAGCATAGTCACGATATGGCTGAAATATTGCCGATGTGACTATAAATTTGAACTCACTCACTCTTGAGCCAACAATGTTTGTTTCAACAATGGACTGGCTGATTCCTTTCTCATCCATGTTGTGCTTCAGGTCTTGATTTGATATCGTGTTTGTCCTTAATCATGGCAAGTTCATCAAACTACTTTGTGACACATTCATCTGAAATAGCTTTGGCACGAAGTTCAATGAGAGAATTGGCACTCCTAACTTTCAGCCCTTGCTGTTGCTCCAACATTCTGTCGGGTAGCCTAGTGGTTAAAGCGTTGGCTCGTCACGCCGAAGACCCGGGTTCGAATCCCCACATGGGTACAAAGTGTGAAGCCCATTTCTGGTGTCCCCCGTCGTGATGTTTCTGGAATATTGCTTAAAGCGACGTAAAACCAAACTCAGTCAGTCAGTCAGTCCAACATTCTGTATAACCATTTTACAGATAAAGGATGGGCTAGGTCATGTTTTCTGAACTGACAAGCCAATTCAGATGCTAAATAATGGACCTCTTTCCTGGTATATCCGTATCTGATGGATGCCATATATCAGTTATCAGAAATAATGATGACCATTGTATTCTATGACCTGGAAATGATGTTTGAGACATGTGAAATAGTGAGCTAGAATCAACAGCTTAAAATCCAGAAAATCTGTGTAGTAACTAGATTTTGAAACATTTCTGCTCAACCATAGTATGTTGAATAAACAGATGAGACATGTTTTCAAAGTAAAACTTTGTTTGATTTGTTTTTCTTGTAACACATGTGTAGTGCTTTGAGCATGCACATGGGATGGACTATAGCGCTATATAAATATCTCCAATATCAGTGTATGAAATAAGCCAAAAGCCCAGCCAGACATCAGGGCTGGTAACTTCAAAATGTTACCAGCCCGAAATGGATTTAACCAGACCAAACACCAAGATACTGTGAATTTACTCAGATGTAGGGAACATCTAAATATTTTACCAGACCATCGGACTAGCTAGCTGCAAATTTAGACCGTCCATCAGAAATCTAGCCCGTATCGGGCAGTTGGACCGGCTTTATTTCATACACTGCCAATATGTATAGTCTAATCACTGTATAAACTCCTCAACCAACTTACAAGCTGCTAGCTGTAAATACTATTTTAAAAAAATAACAATATCCCACCTCTGCTATTTGATTTAACTCAGTTCATTTAATTCTAACGCAATAAGAATATCAAAGAGGGAATGACTGTTCAGTTGGTGTATCCTCAAAGCATGTACCTTATGTATAATTATGACTCTTTTGATGACTCGTTTTTTATTTTCTGTGTGTTTTGATATAACATTTCTTCTTTCTATTTGTCCACTAATAATATTGCCTTCTGGGTAATTGAGATAGAAAGTTCCTGAATTCCTGTGTTTTTCAATAATTGAGTGATATGTCTGATTAGGTCTGGTAGTTCTCAGTATTTGGTTTGTTGTTCAGTTTTTGTTTGAAACTCTGAAATGCATGACATTTGTAAGAAAGTCTATTGCATTAATGAGATTGAAAGTTTTTCCCAGAAGGCTGTAGGTGCTTTTCCATCTTTTTAAAGAATTGCTTATGACATGTTTTATGTTGCCTGCTAGGTGTCTTGGTGAGTTGGTAGTTTCAGTCTAATCAGATCCAGAAATGCATGGTATTTGTTGGAAAGTATGCCTCAGCTTGAGAGGGAGACAGTACCTTGGTGCCAGTTCACTGCAACTGAAAAAGATACATAAAGAAGATGTCAACCTGCATTAGTCACTTAATAAGTGTTATATTCTTACTTTCTCTGTGTTGTTGGAAGTGTTTTGATTATATCAATGTTTTATTGTTTTGTTTCAACATCAATGAACAAATTTTTGTTTGTCCTTAACCTTCCTTACATTCTGACCTGGTGAGCTGTGTGGGATGGACATCACCTGATGAACTGTTCTCAGGTGCAGATGACCACATCATCTTGAAATGGAACTTGCTAACAGGCCTGGAGACAAGCAAATTGCTCACCCTCCCCAATGAGTGCTATCCAACTGGAATGCACTTCTTCCCAAAGGCTGGCAGTAGTGGTGGACCAAAGAAATCAGGCGGGGATGTATTTGCCCTCACATCTACAGATGGTCAGTGATACACAAAGCTTAAAGATTGTTTGTACTCTACATTATGAGAGACATAAGAAATCATACAACTTTATGGATAACAGCTTGTGGTTTATTGCATTTAGCAAGGTTCTCATGCTGAATACCTTCAAGAAAGCTGTGTCTCTTTTGAATTGTGTCTTTCTGGAATGTATACCAAAAGTCAGAGGCTTGATCATATTGATGCAACACTCTTCTAAATTGCTAGCTTTTGGTAATTTCGCCCTTTCTTATGTGTATGTTAAAGAATATGGCTAATTACATTAATGATCATTGGGTTGAGATAACTCCCTGTTTGTAACTGCCTTTTACTGGATGTGAAACCATGATTAAATGTGTGAAAGACAGTTACGAAAAAATTCCTATACATTAAAAAGGGTTCTGTTGACTGTGTTTTTGTCAACAGGTATTTAGTGGTATGTCAATAAGTTTACTTTGCATTAATGATTTAATGCTTTGCAGGCAAATTCCACTTGATCAGTCGCACTGGGCGTGTTGAGAAGAGTGTGGAAGCCCACAAAGGTGCTGTGTTGTCTGGGAAATGGAGTTACGACGGAACAGCCCTTGTCACTGGTAATACCACATTATCCACATGTTTACAGTCTGTTCCAAAGCCTTGTTATCCCCGGCAGCGCGTTTTGCGGGGGATAACAAAATGGACTGCGTCCGTCCGTCCGTGCACATTTGTCTTTTCCGGAGCAGAACTCTAAAACCGTTCAATATGTCGTCACCAAACTTGGCACATAGATAGATCTGGTGGTGTACTGGTGCATTTTGGTAGTTTTGGAATTCTGAATAAAATATTTTTGGCATTTCCATGGCAACAAGTTTGACTTAGACTGAAATTGGTGATAGTGCTCCTCTGTGGAGCAGAACTTTAAAACCCTTTCAATACTCTCCTTCCACTTTACTATGTACACACCTAAATATTTGACATAATCATAACTCGTAGACATAATCATGAAGAGTATTTTGCCACTGCGGGGATATTGATGACTTTGTCTTCTTGTTAGCGTTAATATATTTGATGGACTACATCGATGGAGTTGTTTCCAATTTTTTCACACATAATCCACTGAAGGTCCATATTTTTGGCCAACAATCCTGGCATGCTCAGATCCTCCTGTTGATGAAAAAGGTTGCCCACAGCAAAAATGTCGTCATCATCACGTGCAATCGTGTACAGTACTTGCCAGGTATTCCTTTTGTAAGTTTTAGGAAGATATGACGTTGGCAATTTCAAATTGTATTGGTAAAGCTCTACATTTTGTATGTGGAATATGAAAAATAGAATATTCTGTCCTCTTATCATTTTTACCGCTAATATTAACAATAACATGTTTAAGAGAATGTTGGAAATGAATATATACAACTGTGTTGTTTGAGTGGAGATATCATCACTAGGTGTGACCATGTTGCATATATTTATGATTTTGATTCCTTTCTTCTGTGGGTAATCCTTTTACACTGAGAGAAGGAAGCCCCTTAAGCAGTCACTCAGCTTCAGTGTTTGTTTGTTGTTTAACACCGCACATAGCAATATTCCAGCTATATGTAGATAATCGAGTCTTGACTAGACAATCCAGTGATCAACAGCATGAATATCGATTTAAGCAGTTGGGATAAGATGACGTGTGTCAACCAAGTCAGCGAGCCCGACCCCTATATTTGCCTCTTAAGACCTCAGCTTCTGTAAGTTCAAACCGAAATTTGGGATATGTGTAGTTAATAGTGGGTACTGAACATCTATGCTTTGTTGCCACAAATTGATTGATTTGTTTTTGCAAAATTTTGCTTGTTTTCTTTTGGTGTCACGAAGTTTAATTTCCAGCTGGAGAAGATGGTCAAGTAAAAATCTGGTCACGTAGTGGAATGCTTCGCTCAACTCTTACACAGAACAGTGAGTACTGCAATGTAAAATGGAATTCTCCAGTCAACGCTTACACGATGGAATTTTCCAGTCAACACTTACTCAAAACAGTTTAGTAATGTAAAATGGAATTCTCCAGTCAATGTTTACACACAATAGTTAGTACAGTCATTTAAAATGAATTTCTCCAGTCAACATTTACACAAAACAGAAGGCCAATGCAGTGTGGAATGCTCCGCTCAAATCTAACAAAGTATAATGAGGTTTGGGTTAGCTTTGCAAGTCATTGCTTATTTACTAGTATATATATGTGTGTACTGTTTGCAGGCCTGACTGTGTATGCAGTGTCTTGGGGGCCAGATTCAGACCAGGTCTTGTTCACCAATGGCAAGCAGTTAGTCATCAAATCTCTTCAGGCCAATGCCAAACCCTTAATGGTAAGATCACTAAAAATGTCAGCAGATCTTGTGTAGTGTGATGTGTGGAGATTTTCTACTATTCAGTAAAAAGATACATGACGCTGGGACTGTGTGACATCACTAGTTACTGTATATGGTCCTGCAATTCTCAGTTAATGGAACACATCTCTCAGATAATGTCAATGGGAGTCACCGAACAGTCATGCTGATGGAACGTCCTTGCACACACTGGCACCTTTCGGATTATAACATATACAGAAAATACAAAAAAACTAACCTCTTCTCAGGTACGCACCATACTCCACTGTAAAACACCAGTAATGAATGTGACTCCAATTCCTACCAGTAAAGTGGCACAAATATGACTGTAATACTAGTATTACTGTTCACAATAGATATCAATCCATCATGACATTAATGATTGCGTACACAATGCATATTCTACATTACAGATGGAAATTACAGATCTATACATATATATATAACCTCCTTATGATAAATATAGAAAGACATAATTAACTTGACTAATACACCACATCCTAAACTCCTTATGATAACTATAGAAAGGCATAGTTAACTTGACTATTACACCACATTCTTATCTCCTTATGGTAAATATACAAAGACATCTAAATTAACTTACAGTGCTATAACAGTCATGCAGAGTTGAGATGGCAGCAGTGACCAGAGCAGAGAAATGTTGAAGTATATACAACCTCAGCTCTGGTCATATGCTGCAGAAACAATAGAAATTCAATCACTGGCCAAGCTATGACTGGACCAGGAGGCTGAAGACAAAGAGACACCCTGCTGTGACTTATATAACTACTTTACCTTGGGATTAGTACAGAGTGCTTGGGTTACTAGTATAAGATATAATTATCTACCTAACTTTAAAATACACAATATTTACATTCTGCTGTATGACATCACATCACTATTTACTGTAGGTGGTACTGAAGCTGTATGACATCACATCCCTAGATTCTGTAGGTGATCCTGGACCTATATGACATCACATCCCAAGATACTGTAGGTAATACTGGACCTATATGACATCACATCCGTTGATACTGTAGTTGATACTGGATCTATATGACATCACATCCCTAGATACTGTAGTTGATACTGGATCTATATGACATCACATCCCTAGATACTGTAGGTGATACTGGATCTATATGACATCACGTCCCTAGAGACTCTAGTTGATACTGGATCTATATGACATCACATCCCTAGATACTGTAGGTAATACTGGATCTATATGACATCACATCCCTAGATACTGTAGGTAATACTGGATCTATATGACATCACATCCCTAGATACTGTAGGTGATACTGGATCTATATGACATCACATCCCTAGATACTGTAGGTGATACTGGATCTATATGACATCACATCCCTAGAGACTGTAGTTGATACTGTCTCTGTATGACATCACATCCCTAGATAATGTAGGTAATACTGGATCTGTATGACATCACGTCCCTAGATACTGTAGTTGATACTGTCTCTGTATGACATCACATCTCTAGATACTGTAGTTGATACTGTCTCTGTATGACATCACATCCCTAGATACTGTAGGTAATACTGGATCTATATGACATCACATCCCTAGATAATGTAGGTAATACTGGATCTATATGACATCACATCTCTAGATACTGTAGTTGATACTGTCTCTGTATGACATCACATCCCTAGAGACTCTAGTTGATACTGGATCTATATGACATCACATCCCTAGATAATGTAGGTAATACTGGATCTATATGACATCACATCTCTAGATACTGTAGTTGATACTGTCTCTGTATGACATCACATCCCTAGATAATGTAGTTGATACTGGATCTGTATGACATCTCTTCCCAAGATACTGTAGGTGATACTGGATCTATATGACATCACATCCCTAGATACTGTAGGTAATACTGGATCTGTATGACATCACATCCCAAGATACTGTAGGTGATACTGGATCTATATGACATCACATCCCTAGATACTGTAGGTAATACTGGATCTGTATGACATCACATCCCTAGATAATGTAGTTGATACTGGATCTATATGACATCTCTTCCCAAGATACTGTAGGTGATACTGGATCTATATGACATCCCATCCCTAGGTACTGTAGTTGATACTGGATCTATATGACATCACATCTCTAGATACTGTAGTTGATACTGGATCTATATGACATTGGAATTTCTTCGGCGCCGTGGCTATTCACACGGGTAACAAAGCCTATCACCAGCTTCCTTCACCGCAAGGGGATCGTGTTCAAAGCCTACATCGACGACTGCATTCAGGCACAGAACAATCATGCCCTTCTGCTTCGTCGCATGCAGTTTGCGATACGGCTTCTTCCCCAATTAGGCTGGTTAATCAATCTGCAGAAATCGGAACTAGTCCCCACGCGCCGTCTCAAATTCATTGGAGCAGTGTTCGACACAGAAGCCAACAAAGTCTTTGTCCCGAGGGATCGTTTCGTCAAGATTCAGCGATTGGTTTCATTGGCATTGGCGCAACGGGTTATAGCTAAAACGGCACCACGCCAAAACGGTACTATCCAAAACGGAACCAAATTGGCGAAGACGGAACTTTGACTTGGCGACAACGGAACCTTGACTTAGCGAAAACGGAACCTTGACTTGGCGAAAACGGAACCATAAAATTTTAGCTCTAAATTAAATGTATAAATAAAACTTTACGTTAACTAAGTGCTCAACGATAATGATTTAAAATGGATACTTGCTGTTGACATGGTTGACTCTTCCATTCACATCTATCGGCTGACCAAATAAACTTGTCTCTTCTCAAAACTTGTTGTTTTTAATGCAGTATAAACATGTTGATTATCAAAACATGTTATAAACACTAGTTAATGAACACGCCTCATGCATATTGTTCCAAAGAAACAGCGGCGTGTTTGATGGGTTGACAAGCTTCATTAAAACAGCAACTCATGACTGCTCTGTTACAACTCAATGTCATGATACATGCTATATAAGACGTGGTTATTCATCAAAATGTACTAGCGACAATGGCTTGCGAGAAGACTGTTCGACGAATTCAACATGCTATCACTTGGAGGGGAGACTCAGGTCTTACCTAAGGAAAGCTGCAACAGCACGTCAGGAAGAGATCTTTGCCGTCTGGAGAATGTACAAACGAACAGACACTCAGCCAGCTGCTCTCCAGGTGTGCCATGATCCACGGACCAGTCATCCAATGAAAACGTGATGCAGAACGTGATGAACTGTTATTGATGCGATAAACTGATCGTGTTAAATAAAAACAAAAAACTAGTAGTATTTTGATGTTTTTTTAATAATGTGGTTCCGTTTTCGCCAGAGAAAATTGGTTCCGTTTTCGCCAATTGGTTTTTGGTACCGTTTTGACGCGGTTCCGTTTTAGCCTGCACCCGGCGCAACCCAGGACACTTCGTCAGTGGCAGGAGCTCCTGGGCCTCTTGACGTCGGCTCAGGCGTTCACCCTCAGGGGTCAACTACAACTTCGTCCCTTGCGGTTCTCTCTAGCGCCTTACATCAGAGTGGAAGATCCCGTTGCCTTGATCACTCTACCTCTGCAGCTCCATCCCCATCTCCGGTGGTGGATGGCAGAATTGAATGTTTGCTACAGAGTTTGTTTAGGGCCGTTTGTTCCGTCTCACCACCTATACGTGGACGCGTCTCTACACGGGTGGGGAGCTCATCTTCTCAATCAACAAGTGGCAGGGCAGTGGTCTCCCCGGCGATCGCACCTGTCACATCAACGTTCTGGAGTTCAGGGCAGTTATGCTTGCAATCAGTCACTGGCAGGATGTCCTCAGAGCAACGTCCCTCATGATCTGATCGGACAACGCAGCGTTGGTTTGGCATATCAACAGGATGGGGTACACGGGGTCTACTCAACTGCTACGGTGGACCCAACGGTTCTTCGATCTGGTGGACAGTCTCCACATCATGGTACGAGCCAGTCACATCCGGGGGTGAAGAATGTCATCGCCGATTCTCTGTCTCGACCAAGTCGTCCCTCTCCAACGGAATGGAAATTGCATCCTCAGGTGTTCCAGACGTTTTGCCTTCCGCTGATGATGCCGACAGTAGATCTCTTCGCCACCCGCTTCAACCATCAGCTGTCTCGGTTTGTGTCACCGATTCCGGATCTTCTGGCTTGGGACCTGGATGCTCTAGCCATTCCATGGGACAACCTGAGTGCCAACGCGTCCCCACCAGTGGCCCTTCTTCCTCGCGTATTAGTGAAGCTACTCGCAACTCAGAGGATAACTCTGCTTTTGGTCGCGCCCTATTGGCCGGACAGAAGTTGGTTCATAAACCTCCAAGACCGAACCAGATCCTGTGCCTCTTCCCGTTTGACCCGATCTACTGGTTCATCCTTACTCCGACCAGCTCCATTGGTCTCCATTGACGCTCCATCTGCACGTTTGGCGCATCTTCAACGGTCATTAACGGCTAAGGGCTATTCTAAGCTTGTAGCTACTGCCATTACCACAGCGCATCGTACTTCTACGAGGTCACTCTACGATGACAAATGGAAGAATTTCGAAGCGTATTGCGGGAAGAAGGGCATCTTATCCCCCACTACGGCGTCCCCGCAGATGGTGGCAGAGTACATTCAGCATCTCCAAACCTCCAGAAAACTCAAAGTTTCTACGCTATCTACCTATTTGGCGGCTCTTAACACAGTTATTGCAGCGGCCTCGGGTGTGAAGGTGTCCACTGTCCCTGAACTCCAGTCTCTCCTCCGGTCTTACAAACTGGCTGACCAATCTCGGAAGTTCCAGCCTCCAGCTTGGGATCTTTCTGTTGTATTTGCTCATCTCTCGTCAGCTGATTATGAACCTTTGGAGGAGAAAGATTTCGAACATGTCTCAATTAAGACCTTCTTTCTCTTGGCCTTGGCTACAGCTGGACGTTTTTCTGAGTTGCATGCTCTTGATGTTTCTCGGGTGCGGTTTGAAAGGTCTAGACATGC